CCCTGCAACACGTCCTACCCTGTCACGGTATCGATCCGGCCCGCGTTCCGCTATTATTTATGCAAATTCCATGTCCCTGCGAATGGCCCGCCATTTTTATTCAAATCCCCGCGGTCACCGGTATTTTCGGGGCGATCGACAGTTAGCCCAATTCTAAACCACTGGTCCATCGAGAGTTTTCACGCCTGCAGCCATCCTTCGGGTCTTTTTGACCCGACCTCCACGGGACTTGCCGCGGTCTTCGCAAGAGGAATCGATAGTTCAACCTTTTGCACATCCAGCCCCAGTCCCCGGTCGGAGACACTCGAGCGACGTAACTCGTTAGGCTGTCCTCGTTTTCTCGGTTCATCAATCTTCCAGCCCTGGCCATTAAGTCGCCGCGATTCAGGTTTTTTCCACGAAGCCTTAACGAATCCGCTTCGCGAATAGCCGGATCTTGCTTATGCAAAGTTTAGGCAGAAATCTCTGTTCCCTCGAAACTCTCGCAAATCTCTGATTGGAATCTTGTTATCTTCTTCTTCCTCTCTCTCTTCCTCGATGTATAGATATATATATATATTTTTTTTTTCGTGTTTTGTCTATGGGAGGGAGAAAAGTGGTCGTTCGACGGCAATGGGTAAGCCGGGACCCATTGATCTACCCAAACGATTAGCAGGGTGTTAACCACTAACGAGATCCTGGACCGTGAACGAAGCCCTAATACCTGTGCAACTGTTTGAACCCCGGATTGCTGGCTTTCAGAAGGCTGTCGATCGATAAACGGTCCCCCTTGCATTGTCTTTAAATGACTCTCGACAGTACCAGAATCGACGACAGCGCCGTGATCGCCAGGGAGTTGCCTAGATCCTCCGCACCTGCCGACACGCTCGAAGCTATCGCGCTGTTACAGGCTTTCGGAGTTACATCTGAAACAGAAAGCGAGAGTATAACGTTGGAGGAATGCTCGGTGAGTAACGTGATTTCGAACAGCTCCGCTCTTGATCCTACTCGTTAAAGGAGCCCCGTGTCGAACACGGTCCTCTGTACAAAGGCGATGTACCTGCCTGCTGGGAAATATATATTCCGGCGTTTGGCAGATTGCAACGAACCCTTGACGACTAGCGTCGATGCTGCGATATTTAGATGTAATACGCGATATAACGAATAATATAATTTTAATAATACAATTTATAATACATTTTTAATAGATTATAATTTATTTAAAATAAATAATTCTCATGGAAATTAAGAATCCGCCATCTACCAATGAGAATCACGCGCTCGTAAATTTTCTCTCTAGATGCAACCTATATAAATTTGATGCAAAATTCTGCACAACGTAACAACCGATTTTGCAAATTATCGAGATTGGAGAATCGAAGAAACCGATGATCGTCTCTCTTCTCGAAGAGAGGAAGCTCCTCATGTTCTTCCTCCGTAGATAGTAAACGATCTATTCGATAAATAACCGTGGTGGTTGCTACGGGGAAAATCATTTTTACTTACAAAAGACTGCGCAAGGATAAAGAACTCGAGGATTGGCGGAAAGTAAGGCAGCGTGATGTTGGTATATAGGCAGGTGTGTTTTTCAAGTTAGGCGTCGCGAAAAATGCTGCAAGCCCTTGGTTCAGGCTGGTACGTGATCCGTGAGGTTGCCATTAAGCGGAGAAGATCGATCACGAGCCACTCACGCGATTCTAGCTCGCGCCAAGTCCCTTCTGAATTCAGTGTATAGAACCGAGTTTCCGGATCCTTTAAAGGTCCGCACGGACTGGGCTACGTTACGAGGAACAGTGGGTCTTAACAGTCGATCGACTGCATCCTCGTTCGACTGTATCCTGACGATTGAACGATGTCGTCGATGGATTGTGAATCATTGAACAGGGCAACATAGGCTTCAATACACAATAGGGCCATTGATTAGCTAAACATAGCATAGAAGATCATCTCATGACTCTAACTCTCGGACACCATTTAACGCATAGTCCCATTAATTTCAATAGGTGCAACATTTCGTTTTAATTTAATAACAATCAATCGATAGTCGCACTTTCGCCGAAATTCATCGTGTTGAGACTGGCCAAGCCAGTTAACTTGAAATCCATGTCATAACTGTTCTCATCCCTCGAGGATTATATTTTAGAAGAAACCAAATTGCTCATATTTTACTCGGAAGAACTATTGGGTTGGCAACTAAGTGATTTGTCATTATCATCTAATGGTAAAATCACTTAGTTACCAATCCAATATGTCCAGTAGAAATTAAATAAAGAATCCTTTACCAAATTTACACGGAACCTTCTAAGGAGAGCCAGTATCCCAGCTCACCTAACTGATGATACGTTTGTTCGTCGGTAGACTACGAATATTCCTGCAAATTATTATTGCTATTTACTCTTAATATTTATTACTATTATTATCTACACTCATATCTCATATATTTCCACATATTACCTAGCTTTTTATAAATTGCGCCATAATAACCATAAAGGTCCTCGGTGTATTCATCACCGTAGACGCAGTTCGAAATACGATTCCAAACTTTTGATCAACGATGTACCTATCGAGTTACGAATCTCACGCTGTATACGGGTCACCATGTCCATTTGTTAACTGTGTCCTAAAATCACCAGCGTGACTCGTATTTTTCACCACGAAATCGTTCTATAAACCAGTGTATCGCTAATCTCACGCGCTATCGTCGCGCAAGGGGGTTGAAATGTGTTTCATGTTTGTTTTACGACGTCGTTCGCTCATCTTATCGGGATCTGATGCTTTGAAAGGGGAAAAAAAATATAGCGATAGGAAAGAAAAAAACCGATCGGTCACACGGGTCCACGAAAATTGTCCGGGACCGCAGGAAGCTCAGGGAACTCGCAATTCCCAGATTAATATCGGAAAACCGGAATACAGAGGGGTTTCTTCTTGGCGAAGCGGGCAAACGGTAGCCGTCTGACCACAAAATAACGAGTCCACTGTGGCAATGCCCCCATCGATCAGCGCCGCGAATCTAACGTATCGGTTACCCCGATACTCAGCCTCGACAACGATTCCAGGAATCCCCCGCTGCAATTCGACGGAGCAGCAGCAGCAGCCTGTCGTATTCCTAATGCCTGTTTAAGTTTCCGCCGTTAAACCACGAGATAACCGTTCATATTACAGCGTTCAACGTACCCACCGATCCTCTCGCCTAACTTAATTAATGGGACGCTTAATTAGCCCGCTAGGAGGGAGGCAGCTGTGCAAATTGCCACGACCCTCGTTTCTTTTAATAAGAGTCGCGGCCAGCCTTCAGGATCTTGCAGAATCGATAGAAACACGGTATTACGAGTGGACTATGGGATTTCCGTAGGGTGGACCGTAATTCGTGGTATAAATGGGGCCAGGGGTATTCTATGGATTGGCAATAACAATTGGGAAAGAGACGAGGAACGCTGTATAAATAGATTATAGGCGGTTAAGAAAGATTCTATCGGTGAACACGTCGAACGGTATGTCACGAATTTTGTGTGTATATGGTTGGCTGAGAATTATACAGGTGCGTGTGAGTGTCCCATAAAGCGTGCTACTGTTATGTATTATAGTCGTTCATAAAATAGCGTTTCACGTTTGGAATAATAACGCCGGAGAATAAAGTCGCTTACCAAGTTACTGTAACTTGATACTTTAACTAACTGATAGCGGATTAATCAGTTTTACGTCGCCGACGCTTACCGACCGATAGCCTACTAATCGGCTTTTTGTCGCCGACAATCTTTCTCATTATTCGTGCAGTAATTTGTTATTTGGTATTAACGTACCTTGCTCAGTTGCCTCAGTTGCGTTGCTTTATGAGCTTCCACAGTTTTATGCCAATTTGAAAAACTTATCGTCCGCGATAAACGAGAAGAATGGTATTGGAGAGTCTAAACCGAAACAGAGCCAACGCCAGGGAGAATCTGCGCCTGACCTGCCGATCGGACGTGCGTATGCCGTTGAACGGAATGACGCTACTTGTACAATTTACGAAGCCGATCGACGTACAACGAAAATTAATAGAAAATTAAAATTAATGTAAATTAATAGAAAAAAATTAAATTAATAGAAATTAAAAAAATGAATAGAAAAATAATCTTTTCTTATTTCTGCACGTTAGGAATCGTATACTGCACGCATGTTACTCGGCCGCCCCTGTATAATAGCACTATGATTTATTTAATTAGTAATTATTAATTCTTCGAACCTCGTAGAACAAAAGACGAGAAGAAACGATCGCCTGGCCGTAGATAAAATCGTGAGACAGGAGGGTTAATTCGATGGTGTCTTGCTGGTCCGAGCGACTACTGTTCCGGGCTATCGAGTCTTCGGATCGTTCGTTTAAAATAACGAGGGCATGGGGTAGAAGCAATTTCGTTGGAGGACGCCAGCCAGAAAGGGGAGTGGCGACAGCGAATTCGATTCGACCGAATACCAGCTTTAATCCGGAACAATCTCGAGCAAACAAACACTGGGAATTATGCGACGGAATGCGAAACGAGAACACGCGTTGTTCTATCGTCACGCAACAACAACAACCGGATAATTGCTGGAAACGTAGAAACATCGGAAATCTCGTTGATATCGATCATGACCTCGAGTTATTTTTTCTATCCCGTTGACGCAATCTTGATAATTTCTGGACGAAGTAGTCGCCAACGCGTTCGGCAGGTCGGGCATCGTTGATTTAGGGACTTCAAGGTGTTTCGTCGATCAGATAAAGAATGAACAGCGAAAGAATAAATCGAAAAAATGAATGAGAGAGATCGGGCAGAATGACGGAAACAAAGCGCGTTAATGTGGCCCTATTTGCAAAATACGAATCATATTAGCTTGGTGTTTATTAAATTAATTGTTAACTAATAATGAAATTACAGGAAGAATATTCGTTATTGGCTGGCACGAACGATCAAAACATTCGTGAGATCTGCGTATGCGAGTTTCTGGAGATTTAGCTGCAGATAGAAATTTTACGAAAAGTAAATCATTGATAGGTGTATCGTAGATCGGTAGACGTACAATGGCGGACAGAGGAAGCTTAACGTTTTTTAATCAACCTGTAGTGGTATACCTTATAAAAAGTTAGCAATCTATTTATTAAAAACCGAGAAGCTATTACATTACGTCGAAGAAACAAATTGTTGGCTAAGCCGAGCAACTCAAGTAAAATAATTAAATTTTCGATTTCTGTCAAACGATAACAACATGTAGAAAGAACATAGAAAATTTCTCATCGTTGGAATATTAATTGTTTGCATCAAAGGTACATCATAATATTATATAGTATTATAGTATCGTTATTATATATTATTACTGTAGAATATTATACAGCATTGTAAATTAATAATATTATACATCAGAACGTCGTCAGTGAGCTGTGCTTTTCCACACTCCCAACAGTGTTCAATTGCACGCGACTGATCTGTATGGGATGAGTGGCGCGACTAGTGGCAAGTGTGAAAGGGGCTTAAGGATCTCGGCACTGTGCTCGAGCGTATGTTTAGAAAGTAGATAGTCTGCGATTCGAAGTCGCCGAGCCATGAGGTGTCGATTACACCACTGTTTACAGAATGCATGAGGTAGTTTACGGATTGCAAGTGACGCCTTGGGATTGCCAAACAAGTGGAGACTTTGTCTGAAGGATCCGACCACGGAATGAGGAATTCATCGATGCGTTTTTGCTAAACGGAGTTTAGGGACTGCAGTTACCTCAGAGCCTCGAAAGAGCAAAGTCTCTCGATAAAAAGATAGAAAAATATCCAGTACAAAATGCATTAAGGCTCGTTTATACAAGAAGCAATTTTAAATCCTCTGTCGTTCTTCGTTGTAACGAGGAAAATTCTTGAGAGAGGAAACTTGCAAGCGGGCAATTAACGAGAGAGTCATGCGAGTCACTTGTCACAGGAAAAAAGAAGAGAACGTTCTAATGAGGTTAGGTAGATAGATTAGGTTAGGTAGAATAGGTTAGATAGATAGGTTAGGTAGAATTTTGACACGGACCTGGCACTCCCTTCAGCTTTGGTAGAAAGTCGTTCCAAAAAGCACAATACGTGGTGTGTGGTCCTTTTCCAAGGCCGTTCTCCTGCGCGTTTAAGATGTAGTACTGCGGCCGGTCCCTCGAATATGGCGGCCAGTCGGCTTCCTCATCAGTCGGTTTCCTGAAAAGCAATCGATCAGTTAGTAGAAACCGACTGTGTCACGAGTTACGTTCATCGTGAATCCAATGATCAATCTTTTGCACTGTGGAACGAACCACTCGCACTCGAAATTAGCTTTAGAAGAAAATAGAACACCGAATATATTATACAGGGTGAGTGAGAAATCGTCGTAGAGTTGGGCACAAAGCTATTCGTGAAAAAATAAGTCGAGAAAATATAATGACAGCTTTTCATGTGACGCTACGTTTATGGGAAGATCGAGTTTGAAAATGATCAAAAACAAAAATGTCAACTGTACTTTAACTTGGCTAGATACCGACGATCAGGATTTAGCAAATCAACAGTGAGAGATTATTATACTCGGTGAAAATAATGTTAAATAATATTTTCTCTTTTAAGAAAATTTTTCAAGAAAATCGTTCTCAAGATAATAAAGTGTGAATGTGTTTAATTACGAACTGGTCTGATGATACATCCCCAAATTTTTTTTCGAAGAAACGAAAGAAAAGATTGTATTCCATATTTTCGATTTATTTTCACACGCGATAACAAAGCTTGGGATGTAAAAATGTTATACCAAATTTTTTTCTTATTTTTCACATAGAATCGCCTCTTATCCGTTTGTACTACGATTTCCATTTTTAAAAATGAATATTTTAGTTCAGATGAAAATTTACCAACTTTTGAAACAGAATGTGACTAAAAAACGAGATCTTTCTGTAGTGTTCCTTAACGTTCTTTAATGTTCCTTAATGTTCCTTAATGTTCCTTAATCGTACCAAACATAAGCAAACTAATCGCCAATTTCTTCTCTTTGAAACATTTTGAAATTATCGAGTCGCTGAGAAAAGCAGCGTCGATGATACTCGAGTGCAAAAGGTTAATATTGGATATCAAAGGTTTCCTATTTCAGACTCGGCCTTATAATCGTTTCTCGAGTCCAAAAGAACATAAGAACGTTTCAAATTTCTCGGTGGAAAGATTAACGATGACCTAGCTGATAGTCTGGTTGATTTAAAATTTCATTTGTAGGTTAATTACCTGACTATGGCAACCAGACGGGACTAAAAATCCCTAGGAAGTAAGGTCGAGCACGAAACGGTAGACTAACGTGAACCAACTACTTAGTTTATTATTTCGGTACTAAACCGCGGATTTTTATGCATTCATGGGAAATTTGATAGTGGAAAAAATATATATTTTGCCCGCGATTTCGTTCGCTACTACTTCGTTCGTGGACTACTAATACGCGGAACAATTTTGGAACAGATAAATTTTTACGAACGAAATATCTACACATTTTTTATATTAACAATTAGATCATTCTCTAACCTAGTAAAAAATATTAAATTATAAGAAGGTTTCGGAACAAACACGACGTAAAGAATAGACGATAACCATCGTTGCTTGACATCCAGCAAACATGGAAGCGCATACAACTCAGATCCCGGAGTATTTCTCGGCTTGTATAAAACGGATCGAGATGAAATATACCCTATTTTCTTTCCTAGACACTAAGCTATACAACAGAGAAAAGCTCGTCAAAATTCGTTCAGTAGCTTTTACGTGATGCGAGTGCAAACAGACAGACAAAAATTCCAAAAATGGATTCTTTTCACTGCGCAGCTTATGAATTATTCTCGGCTGACGGTTTTATTCCTTTTTATTCGACGTACAGACACCATGTTTCTATTGTTTTTTATTACAGTGCTGTGAATAATTATAAACTCGAACACATTTTCCGCGTCACTTTCTTTACATTTCCACGAAACCACTGATCATATCTAGATATGTTAAACGAAATTGTTTCGTAGAGGTTAAATCGAATGCTACAGGATATCAGGAGACGTTACTTCAGACAGAATTATTGCTTTTAATAAGTACTGAAAGAAAGGACAGAAAAACAATTTTTCAACAAGACAATGCTCCCATCCATACAGCCACTACGATCAAAATTTCGGAATAGAATTATTACCAGGCATTCAGTCCCGATCTGAACCTGATCGAGAATCTATGGGGAATTCTAGTGACAAAAGTTTACGACCAGGAGAAGCCATCTATGGAAGATGTAGTTGAACTTAAAAAAGGAATAAAATCCGCGCGGATATTCAAAATGAAATTTCAAACAAATTGATGGATAACGTAACTAAGGGATTAATGGAAGTGATCAAAGATAAAGAAGGATCCACTAAATATCGAGTGAAACGGTAAGTAAATTAACGTTGAGTTTACGTCGTTTCAGAACGAAAAACACAATTTCAAGAGAAAATTCAATTTTTTCCAGACTTCAAAGGAAGAAAACTCTCGTTCGTTGTACCTTTACAGTTTTTTTTCATATTATACTATGGAATTATATAAACGATCCTGTCAATTTTTCTTCTAATATTACGAAAAATATGCAAATGGGATTGAATTTTGCGATTAATCGTTGCAATGTACGTGTACAGACAGATGTCCAAAGTAGCATATCCAGCTGTAAACGAAACAAGCTTTCATTTCTGTAGTTACGTTCATAGGGATATAAAAATGTGTAAAAGTCCGCAGTCTCTTCCTAACGATTCAGTAGCGGCGGTAGGAAAAGAGAACGTGAAAAACGATGGTTTGTTATATTGTTTTTTATATCACAGGCGGATTAATTGGCGATGTCGCGAGGATATTACGTCGCAGGTAATTAATTCAAGTTACAGATAGCCGGAGACACGAGTCGTGAACATGGACAGTCAACCGAGTCTCGTTTAAAATTAATAACAACCAGCGTCGGTTAATAAATTGGACGTTGACTGACCTACCAGAGGTTACTTTATTAATTATTGAAATAGCCTGTCTTTTCCACCGCTATCTGCTGCGTATCAATCAAATATTTACACGGCTATCTTTGTCTCGTTAATCAATTAGCCGTCGACAGATCGACTTTCTTCTCGTTCGTCCGGATCAATTACAAAGCAACAGATCCGTGTAATATGATAAAAAGTGAAAATACGCAGAGTAGGTAAGAGTTACGTCGGCGTTGCACAGTCGCCTGTCTTCACGTTAAATTGTCATATTTAAAAAGCACATCTTTTAAGCGCTGCTGACCGATAGCCGCAACTTTCCCGTTATCGTTGTTGGTTTCTTAAAAGCAGTCAACTGTTGCAGCCTCCTTGAAAACTTTGGAAAGCGTGCGCCTGAAACGTGTGGCAACAAGTAAGCGACGACGAGTATACTCGTCGAACACAGAGTGCGTGTGGCTGTTATAATGTAGAATTAAGTTGCAATGCAATGGCTGTTTTATTTCTTACATTTATCACCGACGGTCATAACACAATCATGACGAATATACTCGTCAACAACAGCTAACTGGTTAAGCTTGCGGTGCCTGTTATAATGTAGAATTAAGTTGCAATGGAATGGCTGTTTTATTTCTTACATTTATCACCGACGGTCATAACACAAAGTATGGCCATTTCTTCATGACGAATATACTCGTCAACAACAGCTAACTGGTTAAGCTTGCGGTGCCTGTTATAATGTAGAATTAAGTTGCAATGGAATGGCTGTTTTATTTCTTACATTTATCACCGACGGTCATAACACAAAGTATGGCCATTTCTTCATGACGAATATACTCGTCAACAACAGCTAACTGGTTAAGCTTGCGGTGCCTGTTATAATGTAGAATTAAGTTGCAATGGAATGACTGTTTTATTTCTTACATTTATCACCGACGGTCATAACACAAAGTATGGCCATTTCTTCATGACGAATATACTCGTCAACAACAGCTAACTGGTTAAGCTTGCGGTGCCTGGTATTTTCGAGCATTCCTTGTGCTTTGATCGTCGACGCGGACGAACGTAAAGTAAAACGACGAAGTAAAACTATCGAGTTCCACATCTCCGAATCTACAGAACGTGCTGTAACTGCAACTACCCCGGACTCGCTCGTAGTATTTTCTCACGTTTCCATTGATAGTTCCAAATATAGTTTACACTTAAACATAGTACGCATTTTAATTAATTCGAATTTCCTTAACTCAACCAGCCGAGAGAACCGGCATCTGGCCAAGAATCGAACACGCTTGTTCCAAGCAAAAACAAAGAGCAGAGAAGAAAAGTACGATGCCACTTTGACGATGTCTCCTTTTTAACAATTTTCAAACAGAACGTTAGTGGTAGTATCGGTCCCATTTCAAGTATTAAATTGAAATTAACCGTTTGCAATTAAGTGGAAAAAATTATAATTGGAAGCGTCGTTTTACATTTTGGTCCGCGGTTATTTACATAAACAACACCGCCGTGTCTGACACAAGCATCGTCACATTGACATCAGCAATTGCTAGTTGAAACAAACATCCCTAAGTTTTGTTTCACATGGCGAACAAGATTGATGAAGATAGGTGTTCCAGGAGTTGGTCGAGTTCATCAGTTTGGAAAAGAATGAGACACAGTGAGATCGAATGACACGCCACTCTCGACGGTTGAGCAGTTGTGCAACTCGATCTGAACTCAATCGTCCATGAAACAACAGCAGCTCGCACACGAGACAATCGTGAAATTTGTTTATTTTCGATTTTTTAAAATTAAACTTCCGCTAACGTATTTGTGAGATTTTCCCGATTAAAACAAGACCAAACACGATATAGTTTAAGTCACATTTACATACAGACATTACGTATTCACACATTGAATTTACCAGAGAAAATAATCGTTGTCCAGTAACACTGGACATAAATCATTGTTCGAAATGTAAACGTAATGTTAATTTTGTTATCTTCCCATTTGAAATTTAGCGACTCTTTACTTTTGCTTACTTGCATTAATCCGTCGGTTACACTATCTATCAGTTTATTTGAAGTTTCGTTTCGCCCACGCGGATTTTATTCCTTTTGTAAGTTCAACTATATCTCAATAGGTGGCTTCCCTGGTCGTAAACTTTTCTCGCTAGAATTCCCCACAGGTTCTCGATTAAGTTCAGATCAGGACACTCAATACTGACCATAGTAATAGTTTTATCCCCAGATC